GATCGGGAGGAGGAGGTGGAAGAGAAAGATCGGAGGAGGAGGAGGAGGTCAGTGATGGGGAGGGGAGGAAGTCAGCGATGGGGAGGGAATGAGGTACGCGATGGGGAGGGGAGGAAAAGGGAGATTGGGAGGAGGACCTGGAGGTGGAAGAGGACGACGGGGAGGAGGAGGAAGTCAGCGATCGGGAGGGAAGGAAGAGGATCGGGAGGAGGAGGAGGAAGAGGACGACGGAGAGGATGAGGGCGAAGAGGCCGATGGGGAGGAGGAAGACGACGAAGACGATCGGGAGGAGGAGGAGGAAGTCAGCATTGGGGAGGGGAGGAAGAGGCAGATCGGGAGGAGGAGGGGGAAGAGGACGGAGGAAGTCAGCATTGGGGAGGGGAGGAAGAGGCAGATCGGACGGAGGAGGAGGAAGAGGACGATGGGGAGGAGGAGGACAAAGAGGACGATGAGGAGGAGGAAGACGACAAAGAGGATCGGGAGGAGGAGGAGGAAGTCAGCGATGGGGACGAAGTCGACAATGGGGAGGAGGAGGAAGACGGCGGGGAGGAGGACGTGACAAGGGAGGAGGAGGAAGTCGATGCTTCGTCCTCCATTGTCGTCTTCCTCCTCCCCTCGTCGTCGCGAACTTCAACGCGATTTAAAAAAATAAAAAAAAAATAAAAAAAATTGACGTGGCAGGGAGGACGAAGTCGACGATGGGGAGGAGGAGGAGGAAGAGGATGATGGGGGTGAGGATGACGAAGATGGCAATGGGGAGGAGGAGGACAAAGATGGCAATGAAGAGTAGAAGAACGACGAAGATGGTCATGGGGAGGGGAAGGACGAAGTGGACAACGGGGAGGGCGACGAGGAGAACGAGGAGGAGGAGGAGAAAGAAAGTACTCACCAGCGATGGCGACTCCAGGCGCAGGCGCGGCACGGCAGATGGTGATGGCGACAACCAGGGCAATGGCGGCAGCTCCATGGCAGCTCCACGACAGATGGTGATGGTGACGACCAGGGCGATGGTGAGGACCAGGATAACGAGGACGGACGACAGATGGCAAGGCCGACGACCAGGGCAATGGCGGCAGCTCCACGACAGCTCCACGACAGCTCCACGATAGCTCCACGATGGCGACACGGCAGTTGGCGATGGTGACGACCAGGGCGATGGCGACGACCAGGATGACGAGGATGGACTGTAGCGGGTGGAGGGGTGATGCGGCTTGGGGGGGTAGACCTTCCCTGTGACAGACCTGCCGGGATGGCGGTCCGTCAGGATCAAGACGAAGGGATGAGGATGGGGGAGATGGAGATGGAGCTGGAAGGGACAGCGCAGCTCCAACGCAGACT